TGCTATCTGTATTATTTCTATACTTAGTTCAGTCTAAATCTATCAGAAGTGTTACTTAAAATTGTTATTATTCTACTCTTTTATAAAGTCTATTCAAGATATTATAATATGTCTTACAATCTGTCTTCTCTCATTTAAACATCTTCTTCTTTTCTTTCTTCAATCTGTGACAGTGCTCATGTGCCTTGATGATCTGCAGAATCACAGAATATTTGAAGAGAGATAACATAATTAATTTCAGTGAGTGTTGAAGAGAGATGAAGACAGAAGAGATGATCAGAAATAATATAATAATAGTAATAATAATAATGATAATGATGATGATAATAATAGTAATAATAGTGATAATATTAATAATGATGATAATAGTAATGATAATAATAATAGTGATAATAATGATAATAATAATGATGAAAGAAGAAGTACATTGAAATATATTACTGACTTATCAAATATAAAGAGATAAAGAAAATATTAACAGCTTTTAAAGATATACAGAAACAGCTACAGTGTTGCATAGTAACATTATCTTTATTCAATACATACAGTGTTGATATTCTTTATATGCAGTTATTATATAATCTATATCAGAGATATATGCAGAAAACAGATCTTTATTACTAGAAAGAATGATTACAGTGATTCTCTGTTTTTATATTATAAAGATAACTTATTCTCATTTCTTTCTTCTCTATTTTCTCTTCTTCTTCAACTCATCACTAAGTTCAAGCTGGTATGAAAACTATTAAAACACTCTTAGAAATCCTCAAATTGAAGAGTATAGACTAATTAAATTTTCAATACAGAAGAATTAAATTATATTCAATATTACTAATTATTCATTTTCTCTTAATAAAATCACAGTTGTGTCTTTTTCTTTCTCTCTTCAAATGAAACATGACCTGTGAAAAGTGAGTATTATATCAGATTATAATGACCAACACAGCCTCAGCATACAGAGCTGTATATACATAGTATATGCTGAACTGAGAGACTGTGTGAGTTGTAAATCAGTATCAGTATTTCAGAGAGAGCTGTGCAGTGTGAGAAAGTCACAATTCTCAGTCACATATGCAGAGAGTGAATCATCACAGTAAGTGTATATACATTGCATGAAAGTAACACTTTTTGATAACATGCAGTCTCTGATATTATGAAAATAGAGTCTCTCTGTGAGATTCATTTTTATCAGAAGTTAGAAGATCTTATATTTCTCAAGATTATCTTTATCTATCTTGTTCATGAAATCAATGAGAAGAATCATCAATTTCAGTGTTCTACTCTTAATGTTATTTAAGAAATAGCAGAGTTCACTCTGATCACACTTTTTAAGTATATGTTTTCTAAATATTTACATTTATATAGATATATACTGATTATTTATTAAATAATGTTAAGATAATAACTTATTACAGCTGTGTTATTCTTACTATGAGAGATATATAATTGATAATAAACATTGTAAAGACTCTGAGAAGTAAGTATTTTAAAGATGCTGCAGCTCTGCAATCTTGATTTTTTTTATTTTTATTTTTTATTTTTTTCTTTTTCTTTTCTTTTTTTTTTCTTTTTCTTTTTTTTTTATTTAGTTTGATTTTTTCTTGTTTTTATTTTGTTTTTTATTTTTTGTTTTTTTTTGTATTTTATATTTTTTTCATAATTAAAATTATATGAATTATAATCTGTGTTTAGAAAAGTAATGATATTTGATAACACTCTCTATTGAATTTTCAACAAATGAGTACTATGTTATAATTAGACTGGCCGGCAGAATCATGAATTTCACATTTGATCTCATTTGATCTGATCTCATACATTTCTTGGCGTGAGTCTCACCAGAATCAAGCCTCAAAAAAATCTGAAAATGAACCATTTCTGAGAGAAATGATGTGAAAAATGACCAGATTTAATTCAAGAACAGTGAAATGAGAGTAATTTTCCAGAATAAACTGTGAAAGATAATCATTCTTTCAAAATCAGAATGAGACTGAGACTGAAGATTAAAATCAGTCTCATTCAGTTCATTCAGTGATTGCTTATATAATCAGAATTTGATAATGATTATTGATAATACTCATGAAACAACTAAATACATTCTTGTGCAAGTTTATTCTTCACTTTCTCATGAAAACTACACTTCTCTGATATACTGTGATCAGAGATATTAAACTGTCTGATAATTCCATGTTTTATAATCATGAGTTTCTTGATTGTTTCTTCTTATAATTGTTCTCAGTGATAGTGATAAATATCTCAACTTGAGTTGAACTTTCACTTCATTCTCACCTCTGTCAATGAAATTGTCAGAATATCATGTACTATCAGTACAACAGTTGAATATATACTCTCAACAATTTTTCATAACTCTAGAATTGATTTAGTACATAAATTTGTCAGATTATCTTGAAGATAGCAGTCAAATTTAGTTTTATAAATATGTAGTTTTACCTGATTTTCAGTTGCAATCAATGTATGTAAGTTCTGTTTCAAAGTTAGTATTATAGTTCTATATAATATGAAGTGTTATCAAAGATCATTACTTACTAGAGAATTGTATTTCACTGTCTTCACATCTCAAATATCTGCTTGTTCAAATCTCTGATAGTTGATATTGTAGTAGTCTCAGACTAATCTGATATATAAGTCTCATTTCTTCTCTATTCAATCTTGAGAAGTGTAGGTATTAACTTAACAGAAGAAATCTAGTAGAGCTGCTACAGTATAGTACTCTGTAAAAGATTATTTCATTTTACTGTAGTAATATACCAGTTTATCTCTTACAGTAACAATAGCCTGTGCTATAGCATTATCTCAGACTGAATTTCTTTTTGAGTGATTCAACTGCTTCTTAAGATGAGTAAATAAACTGTTATACACTCACCAGGCTGACTGCAGCATTGATGTACAAGTGATTGAGACTGTTTTTGTTATCTTATAAAACTGAAACAGTAAATTAATCATATATTTCAACTGAGTTTACTTCATATTAGAAAGTTTCAATATCTGAATCTTTTCCTGATCAGAGTATTGCATTTAATGATTAATTATCTGATACAATTAAAGAGTCTGAACAGTTATCTCATATATTGAACTTCATCATATTCTAACATTCTGTATCATATTCAGTGATGTGACTGATTTGTTTGTTTATTAAATATCATGAAATCATTGTTATTATTTAGAAGAGATATAAATTGCATTAACAATGTTTCAAATCTATGATATTTAAATTATTAGTCAATCTATTCAAAATTAACAGTAGTATTATCAAAAAGTGTTACTAAAAAGTAATATCAAAAAGTGTTGTCAAAAAACATTATCTTTTGCAAAGTGAATGTAAAAGTTACTTGAGTAATCACTTTCATCTCATTCTCATCTCAAGAACCAGCTATCTCATTATTCTTCATCTCAATGTTAAGATTCTTTATCAGTGTTTGTATCACAAGTTGAATCACATGAGCAATGCAGAGAATATGACCTTATTTATCATTTCAGAAATGCAAAGTCAATTTTTGCTCTAAGCTCTTTATCATAGTGTAGTTATTTGCAGCATTGTCAGTTGTAATTGTAAGAAGACTGAGACTAATATCTCAATAGTTATTTTTAATCACAGTTATTAATATCTCTGTCATATAATTCCCAGTATAACTACTGATCAATGATTCAAATTCAATTAATATCTCTTAATAAGTTCAGTTCTTATCAATGTAATAACATGTAACTTCTATAAATGCAAGATTGTTTATACTAGTTCATGTATTCACTATGAGAGACACTCTTCAATGATTGTTCAACTCTGATTCTAGATATTATATATTAACTTTGTAGTGTATCTCAAGGTTAAACTGAAGACAGAATTGATGTGAAATATAAAGATTTGAATTAAGTATTTGAAGAAGTGTTCAGAATTCAGAGTTTTCAATTGATTGAAGAGAAAGATTCAGAGATATATATATACAAAGTAATTGTTCACAGAAGTTATCAGATGAGAGTTATGAAATCAGAGTACTGATACAGAGTTATTATCATATAATTTTCTTCAAATTAGAAAGTTAGCATTATCAAAAATTGTTATCTAGTAGAGTAACTTATCAGCTCAGTAGTAATTTTCTGATTATTTTTCTTTTATTGTCTGCATTCTGATAACTTCAGATGTTAAAAAATTCCTTCAGAGTCATGATCAGTTCATGATAAATATTTCTGAATGAAGTTACAGTAATTGCAGTAAAGAGATAACTCTTAAGTAATCTGTAATACAATCTGTTGATAATTATTCCATAGTTTATTTTCATATTTATGTTGAGTTTTTCATAAATTTCATGACCTGAAATCAGATATGAAGACTGAAGTAGTTATTCATCATAATTGAAAGAAAGTATTCTGTGTTAAATTGTAAATAATGTAGACTTTGTGATTCACAGTGATTTCTTGAAGAGTTTATGAATCTTCAATAGAAGTAAAAGAAGTGAAAGAAGTGAATTCAGAAGACATAATAATAATTTAAGAAAGATGATAATTTATTTTCAATAACTGATCACTGATGTGTGTAAGAAGAATTAATATAAGAGAAAATAATCTTATTTCTTAGCTTAGTTATAATTTTAGTACTAACTCAGATTGAATATCATTGATGTATAAAAGTAAATAAACAATCTTGATTAATCTCTGTTATATTTCTTGAAATATATTAATATTGTGAAAGAGAGTATTATTAAATTATGTTATCAGATAATATCATTAAAAATATATTAATATTGTGAATATCAATGTTGAAAAAATGTTGATACTTATATATTATAGTGATTTATGAATCATGATAGTTAAATATATATATATATATATATTATTCCTGACTTGATTACAACTTGTACAATAATTTTTGAAAACTCAAAATCAATTTTAATTATTAATTATTAAAAACTTAAACTTATAACTAACTAATATAAAAAGAAAAAAATCTACTTCTTCTCTTTCTCATTCTTCTTATCATTCTTCACAATTCACTTCTCATTCTTCTTCTTCTTCTTCTTCTTCTTCTTCTTCTTCTTCTTCTCATCTGAGATGATAATCATCTCAAAATCTTTCTTCACTGTCTTCTCAGAGAAGGGTTTCTGCTGCTTTCTCTCAGCCAGGTCAATCTGTGTCTCAAAATCCCACATTTTCTGATCTGCTGTCTCAGGTTCCATCTCAGCAGTAAGCAGATTAACATACTCAGAGAGCAGAGCTGTCTTCTCAATGTTCTGAATCATGAAGTGCATTCAAGATCTGAACAAGGCTTCAATTCTCTTCTTCTCTATCAGCTCCTGCTAATCAATTAAAGAACAGAAGTATTATCAAAAATCATTATCTTTCAATAAAAAATTTATCAGTTTTAACTTCTTTGTCTCTCACTTTAATATCTTCTCAATCTTCTTCTGTCACTGTTTATTTATAGTAACACTCTTCTTCTCTCTCTCTCTCTTTATCTTGATCTTAAATCATTCTCAGAACTTCTTCTGATTTCATCACTGCTGTATAAGACTCTTCACTGTCTTCTTTTTCAATCTCTCACAGGCAGTGTTATCTGTATTATTTCTATACTTAGTTCTGTCTAAATCTATCAGAAGTGTTACTTAAAATCATTATTATTCTGCTCTCTTACAGAGCCTCTTCAAGGCATTATAATATGTCTTGCAATCTGTCTTCTCACACTTGAACATCTTCTTCTTCTCTCTCTTCAATCTGTGACAGCACTCACGCGCCTTGATGATTCACAGAACTGCAGAATATTTGAAGAGAGATAACATGATTAATTTTAATAAGTGTTGAAGAGAGAGTGAAGGCAGGCAATGATATGATAGTAATGATAATAATAATGATAATAATAGTAATGATGATGATGATAATGATGATGATAATAATGATAATGATAATGAAAGAGAGAGTGCATCAGAATATATTATTAACTTATCAAATATAAAGAGATAAAGAAACTATTAACAGCTTTCAGAGATGTATAGAAACAGCTACAGTGTTGCATAGTAATATTATCTTCATTCAATGCATGCACTATTGATATTCTTTGTATGCATTTATTATATAATCTATATCAGAGATATATACAGAAAACAGATCTTTATTGCTAGAGAGAATGATTGCAGCAATTCTCTGTTTTCATATTATAAAGATAAGTTATTCTCATTTCTTTCTTCTCTCTTTTCTCTTCTTCTTCAATTCATCACTAAGTTCAAGCTGATATGAAAACTATTAAAATACTCATAGAAACTCTCAAATTGAAGAGTATAAACTAATTAAATTTTAAATGCAGATGAACTAAATTAATTTAATAATACTAATTATTCATTTCTCTCTTAATAAAATAATAGTCATGTCTTTCTTCTCCCCTCTCAAACAAAACATGGCTTGTGAAAAGTGAGTACTATGCCACACTATAATAATCAACACAGTCTCAGCACACAGAGCTGTATACACACAGTGTGTGCTGAACTGAGAGACTGCATGAGTTGTAAACTGACAGCAGCATCTCAGAGAGAGCTGTGCAGTGTGAGAAAGCTGTAACTCTTAGCTACATACATAGAGAGTGAATCACTGCAGTAAGTGCATGTGCATTGCATGAAAGTAATGCTTTTTAGTAACACTCAGTCTCTGATATTATGAAAATAGAGTCTCTCTGTGAGATCTGTTTTTATCAGAAGTTGAGAAATCTTATATTTCTCAAGATCATCTTCACACACCTTGTCTGTGAAATCAATGAGAGAAATCATTAATTTCAGTGTTCTGTTCTTGATGTTATTCAAGTGACAGCAGAGTTCACCCTGATCACACTTTTTAAGTGTATATTTTCTAATTATTCACATTTATACAGATATATACTGATTATTTATTAGATAATGTTAAGATAATAACTTATCACAGCTGTGTTACTCTCACTGTGAGAGATACACAGTTGATAATAAACATTGTAAAGACTCTGAGAAGTAAGTATTTTGAGAGTGCTGCAGTTCTGCAATCTTGATTTCTTTTGTTTTTATTTTTTATTTTTTTCTTTTTCTTTTCTTTTTTTTTTTATTGTGATTTTTTCTTGTGTTTGTTTTGTTTTTTATTTTTTGTTTTTTGTTGTATTTTATGTTTTTTTATAATTAAAATTATATGAATTATGATCTGTATTCAGAAAAGTAATGATATTTGATAATACTCTCTATTGAATTTTCAACAAATGAGTACTATGTTATGATATTATGTAAGTGAGAAGTGATTTCATAGTCTCATTTAGTATCATTCTCAATAATGAAATCAGAATGAAAATATGACTAAGAATTCAAATATATTCTTTATTCAGAACTAGATTTTTATTTGAAAAGTGAATCTGAGATCTTTAATATTTGAAATAATGTGATTTGATATCAATGTGATGAATATAAATCATGACCAGAAGTAATGCTTTTAGATAATGTGACAACTGTAAAGTTTGATTCTGGTTTCAGACACGGTCACACAGTCAGTCTAGTTATGATATTATATAAGTAAGAAGTGATTTCATAATCTCATTTAATATAATTCTCAATAATGAAATCAGAATGAAAATGTGACTAAGAATTCAAATATATTCTTTATCTGAGACTAGATTTTTATTTGAAAAGTGAATCTGAGATCTTTAATATTTGAAATAATGTGATTTGAAATCAATGTAATGAATACAAATTATGATCAGAAGTAATGCTTTTAGACAATATAATAACTGTAAAGTTTAATTCTGGTCTCAGACACAGTCATATAGTCAGTCTACTCACACATCTTAATAATTCACAGAACTGCAGAATATTTAAAGAGAGATAATATAATTGATTTTAATGAGTGTTAAGAGAGATGTGAAGACAGACAATGATATGATAATAATAATAATAATAATAATAATGATAATGATGATGATAATGATGATGATGATAATAAAAGAGAAAGTGCATCAGAATATATTATTAACTTATCAAATATAAAGAGATACAGAAACTATTAATAGCTTTCAGAGATGTATAGAAATAGCTACAGTGTTATATAATAATATTATCTTTATTTAATACATGCACTATTGATATTCTTTGTATGCATTTATTATATAATCTATATCAGAGATACATGCAGAAAACAGATCTTTATTACTAGAGAGAATGATTACAGTGATTCTCTGTTTTTATATTATAAAAATAAGTTATTCTCATTTCTTTCTTCTCTCTTTTCTCTTCTTTTTCAACTCATCACTAAGTTCAAGCTGATATGAAAACTATTAAAACACTTATAGAAATTCTCAAATTAAAGAGTATAGACTAATCAAATTTTAAATACAGATGAATTAAATTATATTTAATAATGTTAATTATTCATCTCTCTCTTAATAAAATAACAGTTGTGTCTTTCTCTTTCTTCTCAAATGAAAAATGACTTATGAAAAGTGAGTATCACATCAGATCATAATAACTAATACAGTTTCAGTATACAGAGCTGTATATATACAGCACATGCTGAACTGAGAGACTGTGTGAGTTACAAACTGACAGCAGCATCTCAGAAAGAGTTATGCAGTGTGAGAAAGCTACAACTCTCAGTTACATGCATAGAAAGTGAATTACTGTAGTAAGTGTATATATATTGTATAAAAGTAATGCTTTTTAATAACACTCAGTCTCTGATATTATGAAAATAGAGTCTCTCTGTGAGATCTGTTTTTATCAGAAGTTGAAGAATCTTATATTTCTTAAGATTATCTTCACATGTCTTATTCATGAAATTGATGAGAAGAATCATCAATTTCAACATTCTGTGGCCCGGTGGCGTAGTGATTAACTACGCTACCATGAAGCCTCAATTAGCGGCCTTCCCCCCGGGGAATGAATGCTAAGAGAGGGCAGGTTTGAACTCTGTGAAGATTATCTTAATCACAGCTTTCACTGTTAAGTTATAAAACAGTACTGAGGACTCTCAGATGCACTATAGTGAATCATTATCAAGCTTAAGATATTCATCTCAGAGATTCTCAGATGCTAATTCTCACTGATCTTAGAATTAACAGTTTCTCAGATATTTCAAGTTAAATCAGTACTAGAGTAATTGAGATCTAGAGTGTCTGCAGAATAGTAAATCATTATTAAACTTAACTAGTCAGATCTCATTCTTCTCACTCTAGATACTCACTTTCAGAGAATGAGATTTAAAAACTATCTGATTAGAACACTCTGAGTCTAGCAAGAATCTAGATGAGATGAGATCTAGGCATTCTTAATAGATGATTAGTGCAAGCAAGATCATGACAGCTAATTAATAGACTGAAATACTGAGATTAGCAGCTGAAAGATTAGAGACTTAACTAGAATTGAGTAGCTCTGATATTATTCTTAATAAGAATCTCACTTATGAGTAAGCTAGTTACAGAAGCTAGCTGAGTGGCAGCTCTTTAGAGAGAATGATAACCTCTGAAGTGAGTCTGAGAGAACAGAGACAGCAATCAGTTATATAGAGTGTTAAAATATGTATATAGCTTAAGATATAAACTGCAGAGATCTGTTCTGTAACTCTCTTTACTGTATCTTTTTCTTTATCTTTCTCTTTCAATTTCTTTCTATCTATCTATTTAATGTGTCTATTTTTGAGACTGTGTTCTTTTTCTCTTTTCCTTTGTCATGATATTGTCAAATGATTTCAAAGTATTAAAAGATGTTAAAACACTGTAATTTGTAAACAGTTTTTGTATTCTGAGCTGGAATTTTCTGATTTTACATATCTGAAATTGATGAATGTATAATAGTTAACTTTACAGACATAGAAAAAACTCTGAGAACTAAAAGTTCTCAGATAGATGTCATAGTCTCTGACTGTATACATCTATAATTGAAGAATAATAATAATAATAATCAACATTCTGTTCTTAATATTTTTCAAGTGATAGCAGAGTTCACTCTGATCACACTTTTTAAGTGTATATTTTCTAATTATTCACATTTATACAGATATATACTGATTATTTATTAAATACTATTAAGATAATAACTTATCACAGCTGTGTTACTCTTACTATGAGAGATACATAGTTAATAATAAACATTATGAAGACTCTGAGAAGTGAGTATTTTAAGAATACTACAGCTCTGTAATCTTGATTTTTTTTATTTTTTTCTTTTTCTTTTCTTTTTTTTTTCTTTTTCTTTTTTTCTTTTTTTTTTATTGTGATTTTTTCTTGTGTTTGTTTTATTTTTTGTTT